ACTTTTAACTATATTAAAATAAAATATGTTCAAAATAAGATATAACTACGATCGACGAAAATTTAAAAGCAAATTTTTAAACGCGATCTTGATATTTTTAAAAAGCATTAAACTCAAAATTTTATTTTGCAGAAAGACACACGAAGTGCTGAATATCGCTAAAGTTTGAGATTTTCAAAACTTACATGTATCTTGCAGCGCAGCATCCACTGCGTTTCGCTGCAAATCAGATAGGATAATCATCAAAAACAATGAATGTACAAGAAGCACGATCCACGTGGATCGCAGTGTTCTCCATTGCCCTCTCGTGTGGTCCAGTAGCCGCATGATCTCTTCTCGCGTTGTCAAAACATACTTCAGCTAATTTTCCGATACGTCTCATACACGTAGGCTCATTAGAAATACGACACACGAGATCCGCGATTACAGGATCTTCGTGATAATGTGAGATCTTTTTCCGATCATCGGAATTTCTGCTTTCTAACTGTTGTTTCTATTTCTCTTTCTTTAACTCTCAACATCGCTTCTCGAGATAACACAATACCGAATTAATTCCGAATATGGCTACTTCTCTGAACTATGTCCTCTTTTCCCTTTGCTTATCCCTTATTCAAACTGCGTTCCTCTTACTGTCTAGTTTTCCCTTGCGATGCATGAATGCAACTGTCGCCTAGATGATACTTGCGTTCCATACATGTACTTTTTAGTAATGATTCCATATCTCTTCTATTAACACTGATTTGTATATGACATAGAAGACAGATCGCAGGGTGCAGTGTCATCGGGTTAGTCCCTCCTTTCCTTTAGACATGATATAATTGAGAGCATCACTATGAATTGCAAACATAAATTAAAAGAAATAAATCGATAAAAATTTATTTTATAAAACTACGGATTTCTAATTTTTATTATAAGAACTTTATCTAGCAATTTTAAGTTTTCTGTTTGTTTTTTTATCTGTTCGAATTAAAAATCGTTTAAATAGTTGACTCATTTCTTAGAAATTTTTGTTTTAATTGATCCATACATTGCTTCCTTAAAGCATGATTTGCCAAGAATATTATATTATACATTGCACTGTATTCACAATTAAGAAAATGATTTAATTATTTTTATGAAAAATATATAAAATAATTATAATATATATTAGATATATTATGTGGAAATAGAATGAAAAACAAAGAAATCAAATAGCTAACTTTTCAAACTAATTTATGATTTTAAATATACAAATTTTATTTTACAGAACATATTTTTGTCTCATTTCTATCTATTTTATAATTAAATTCTAAAAGAATAGATACAAAAAATTGCGTGAATATATCTTTAAGAAGAGCACGCTATATAGCAATTAAGAAGCGTAATGGTCAGTGACCGAATACTACAGTTATTATGAACTTTGACATCTCATTGATTGCGTATGCGTTTTGATTAGTATCTTCATATTTCTTCTTCTATTATGTAATAAAAGTTTGACATAAAAAAAAACTTCTATTTATCTTAACCAATAATGCTGGGCAATGATACGACTATTATTTCAATGTACATCGATTTTTATAAGATTCATGAATAATCAATGTTGAAATATATTGTAAATACTAAAGAAGGCTAAAAGATTAGTCGAAACATGTACAAGTAATGATATAATATATAATTAATTTAAAGAAACAAAAACTACCCAGCAAACGAGAATGGATTGAAATGAAGTGAAATGGATTCAGATTTTCAGAAATATTGATTTACGAATGTTAAAATGAATGCTTTTCAATTCTGAATGCATTTTTATTCATTTATAGGAATTGCATGGAGCATATCTCTATACCTTTCAATCTAAAAATAATATTGGCTTTTTCTGTATATTATGAATATACAGAATTCAATTCAAATTCAAAATTTCAATTCTATTCAATTCAAAATTTTGAATAGGAAATGTTTTTCAATTCAATTGCATCCAATTGAATCTAATTGAATCCAATTGAATCCAATTAAATTAAAAAAAAAAGTATTTACTATTTAAAATACGCATTCGGATAAAAAAAAAATTTCAATCCATTTTAATCCATTCTCGTTTGCTAGGCTGTTTTCTGATGCAATAACAAAAGATACTCATACATTTTATCCGAGAAATATACATCCTTAGAACATATTCAGATGCGACAAAAGAATGTTTTCTGGATATCTTACTACGTCATTTGGAGGTCTGTGTTATATTATGGATAGATTTTAATGATCTATATATTATATATTAAATTTATTTACACACGATTACTTTATATTGCACGTAGATATAGATTATTATTTATATTTTACGCGTAAATGCCAAACTTGATGATCTCCGATATCCTATATCCATATACACATAAACAATAAATTTTACATAAAAGCAAAAAATCTTGATAATATAAAATATAAAATATTACATACAACAAAATTGGTAAATTTTTAATGTTGATAATTACCAAACTGTTACTAATTAACGATAAATTTGCTGTTAACTTTATCGACTATCGACAATTATCTAAATTTATAATTATATGTTATCAACATGAGTAATTTTTGTATTAGTTTATCTATTTTTACAGTAAGGGGCAGCACTTTTATGCTTCTCATTTGTTCAATTGTCATTTCATTCATTAAACGAATATTCAATGAAACAAACACGTGGTGTCGAAGAGAAAAGAGAGAGAGAGAGAGAGAGAGAGAGAGAGAGAGAGAGAGAGAGATAACATTTGAGAATAATATCGAAAAATATAGTTTAGTTTAAAAAACGAAACGAAATAATATTTATTGTTTAGTAAGTGAAAAAACGGAGAAAAATAAATGACTATGGCGAACAAAAAAAAAGTAAAGGCTTATGTGAAAAAGAAGCGGACACCAGAAAGTAAAATAATTGAGGCACTGCAGTCTAAGTATAACACTGTAAGTAGATACATTTCAATAATATTATGTGACATAACAATTCAAAAGTACGTAAAATTAATTACAACGTAAAATTATAGATAGATGTTACAAAAACAACAAAATTCAGAGATCTCCCCTTATCGAGGATTACCTTAAAGGGTTTAACAGAAAACAACTATGTTGAAATGACAGACATCCAGAAGCAAAGCATCGGCTTAGCCTTGCAAGGCAACGATATCTTGGGAGCTGCAAAAACCGGCAGTGGCAAAACACTGGCTTTTCTTATTCCAGTACAAACAAGTCTTCCATATATTTTAATTGTTACAATATATTGAATTCATGTTTAATAAAATATTGTTCCAGATATTGGAAATTTTGTACTGCAAACAATGGACAAGACTGGATGGACTAGGCTCACTAATTATTACACCTACGAGAGAGCTAGCGTATCAGATATATGAGACATTGCGAAAAGTGGGTCAATATCATAGTATTTCAGCAGGCTTAATTATAGGGGGAAAGGACTTAAAATTTGAGAGGAAACGTATGGACCAGTGCAATATAATTATATGTACACCAGGACGTTTGCTCCAGCATATGGATGAAAATCCATTATTCAATTGTGTGAATATGCAGGTAATTGTTTAATATTTTCTTTTACTCCTAAATAAATTATATGCTTTTGAAGAAATAGAAGTTAAATTAGAAAATTTATCTTCTATTTTAATAATTAATTTAGAAAATATAATTATTTACAGATATTAGTGTTAGATGAAGCAGATTGTTGTTTAGACATGGGTTTTGAGAAAACTATGAACTCTATTATTGAAAATTTGCCTCCTAAAAGACAGACTTTGCTCTTTTCAGCAACTCAAACAAAGTATATATTGAAAGATAATTTTATAGAATTAAAATTTTATTGTCATAATGTTATTGATTGTATTTTACATTTTTATTAGATCTGTGAAAGATCTAGCAAGGTTAAGTCTGAAAGATCCATTGTATGTATCTGTGCATGAACATTCTACACACACCACACCAGAAGGCCTGCAACAAAGTTACATCATATGTTCCTTGGAAGATAAGCTAGCGATGCTGTGGTCTTTTATAAGAAATCATATGAAGCAGAAAATTATTGTGTTCTTTTCCAGCTGTAAACAAGTAATTATTTTTTATATTAATGATAAATTGTCATGAATTGACATTTGTTTATCAAAAATTTTAGGTGAAATATGTATACGAAGCATTTTGCCGATTACGGCCAGGCATTAGTTTATTAGCTCTTTATGGTACTCTTCATCAGCTGAGAAGAATGAATATTTACGAATCATTTTGCAAGAAACAACACGCTGTTTTATTCGCGACTGATATTGCTGCTCGCGGATTAGGTATTAAAATTAAATTAAATTCTGCTCTGCAAAATATTGTTTACAATATTTGTAAATTTCTTTATGAAAGAATTTCTTGTTGCATTGAAATATACATTGTGTGTATTATTTCTTTTAGTTCTTACAATTTTAATAAATCATAATAACTATAATTTTGTAGACTTCCCTACTGTAAATTGGGTGGTACAAATGGATTGTCCGGAAGACGTCAATGCCTACATACACAGAGCAGGCAGGACTGCCAGATTTAAAAGTGGTGGTGAATCTCTTCTAGTGTTGTTACCATCCGAAGAAATGATAATCGAGAGACTTAAGCAACGTAAAATCCCAATAAATATGATAAAGTAAGGTTTTTATACATGTATAAATTTTATTTTATTTACATTCGTTACTCATCTATCTCTATGTTTAGGATTAATCCAAACAAATTGCAATCGCCGCATCGTAAGCTGGAAGCTTTATTAGCGCGAGACGTAACATTGAAAGAAACAGCTCAGAGAGCCTTTGTATCATATATCAAATCAATTTTCTTAATGAAGGATAAAGAAATCTTCAATGTGCACGCTTTAAATACAGATGAATTTGCCAAGTAAGCATTTGTTGAATTATTCATCATCGAATATGATCATTCTTGAATATTTCTTCATAGTAGAATTTTTTACAGATCGTTAGGTTTAGCCATACCTCCGAGAATCCGATTCTTACAAAGAATGCAGAAAAAAATGTCGAATAATGATGTCAAGACTGAAAAAGAGATAGAAACTTCAACCAATTCGGCAGATAACAGCGATCAGGAAGATAGCGGAAATAACTCTGACAAAAGTGATATTTCTAATAAAAGTGAAAAAAAAATAACTAAAGAGGAAAAAACTACTGTTCTTCAGATTAGTAAGAAAATTGAAAATCACTTATTAAGATATATTATAGATTCCTTATTCCTTACTTATAAAAAAAACACGTTTAACTATGTGTAATCTATATTTTTTTAGATAATAGTGATGACGAAGACATATTAACTATAAAAAGAAAAAATATAGATATCGATGATATTCCTATGACAGAGAATGAAGATAAAAATACTTCGAACAAAAAGAAATTTATAACAAAAGTTGCACTCGCTAAGAAGATTCTCAAAAAGAAGATTGTACCTAATAAAAAGACTATGTTTGATGATGAAGGCCAAGTAAGAATTTTATATTATGAATTCTTACATATTCTATTACACAACGTAAACTTACGGTTTATAATCTTATTATAATTTTGAGATTAGCAAAAGCTTTATATTTATTTACATTAATTTTTTTTCCAAGTTTTTTTTTAATCGTTTATCTGTATACGAGAATATCTATATTCCAGGAATTAGTTGATTCTACCAAAATAAAAATGTCAGAATTAGCACGACAGTACGAGAATGAAGTCGATTCTGGAATTAATATCGAGATGGCAAAGCAAGTCTTACGCGAGGAGGATCAGTTCGATAAACAAAGATACAGAGAAAAGAATAAAGAAAAACGCAGAGAAAAGAAAAGGAAACTGAAAATCAACAAGAAAACGGAAACAAATGATGAAGAGAACGAAGATGCAGACGATGATTATGATACCGAAAGTGAAGCTAGTGAAGGTCCAGATCTTTCATGGTTACCTGATCCAGATAAAATATACGGCAAACAAAATGGAGACGAAGAAATATCATCTTCTAACGAGTCTGAAGAAGATCAAATATCTGAGGAAGAAAGCATAACTCACAAGTATATAAAAATCACATAATTTATACTTATAAATATAACTATATTGGAAAACTTAAAAATTTAATTCTTTCTGTTATAGCCCTTTCAAGAGAAAATTGATAACGCAAGAGGAATACAAAGGGATTAAGAAGAAACAAAAAGTATCTAATATTGCTTGTCTACAAGCCGATGAAGAATTAGCATTACAATTATTACAGAATTAGTACAAAGTACTTTAGAGAAATGTAAATTTTTACATTTTATTTATGAATGTGGCGATATGTACACTTTACAATATAATGATTACCTTAACAGTAAAGTGTAATTTTTTTACATTTTGTGTCATAGTTTTAATTCAACTAGATAAAATTGTACTAAGGCGGCATATGATTATTTGTCAGCTTAATAAATTATGATTATTTTCTTACGCACAAATATCAGTGAGTATTCTTTTAATGGTAAGGTGTAACAAGTACTTTACATTTCATACAAGTTACTCTCACAGTGATAATATTTGGTAAATTCATCTATAGGAACTGCTACTACTTACAATGTACAATAAATATTTTACAAAATTCCAATTATTAAACAAATTACTATACAGAGCATATTTGTGATAGGGAGCCAAAATCCATCCAATTATTTAAGAGCAATAATTTTATGGAAGAGAAATATTTCGCAGTTTCGAGCCAATAGATGAAATTTTGTTTTCGCATATTGTCGGATCATTCCTTATTCTACAATTGTCCTAACTAGCTTATATCCTTATATATTTTCCTTATATATTATCCTTTATATTATCTCACTAGAAATCACACAAGATTCTTGGTACATATACTTCGAACTTGCCACTTTCCATAGACAATTGCTACAAGAGATTTTTAGCTAGAATAATTTTCAGTCTTTTTAAGCGGTTGCGATTTTGATGTGTTTCAAAATATTATCAACGACATCTCTGCTCGTTGCAGTGCCACCGAGATCGCGAGTATGTATTCCTTGATTAATAGTTTTGTTGATTGCATTCTGGATAACAGTAGCATGATGTTTGTGACCTAGATGACGCAACATATCTACTGCAGCATTCAGCATCGCAATTGGATTGGCAATGTTCTTGCCAGCGATGCTGGTACCGGTGTTACGAGTGCCTGGCTCGAAGATCGTGTAATGGTCGCCATAGTTCTTGCCGGCTAATAAACCGGCACCACCCAACAAACCGCATACCACATTCGATACGATGGCACCATACAAATTGGTCGTTAATACAACATCAAACTGATGTGGATTTGATACAAGCTGCATGCAACAATTATCAATAATCATATCGTTGTGAATGATATCCGGATAATCCTTGGCTACCCGCCGCGAGATTTCTAAGAAAAGTCCATCTGACAGCTTCATGATGTTCGCTTTATGAACTGTTGTAACTTTCTTGCGACCGTTCCTCTTGGCATATTCAAACGCATAACGGGCGACACGTTCAGAATTGAAATTCGTGATGACTTTCATACTTTCAATAACGCCGTAGACGCTCTCATGTTCCAACATGGAGTACTCACCCTCAGTATTCTGCCTCACAATAACAATATCGATGTTCTTCTGACGTGAGTTTACACCCGGATAAGATACACAATGTAGAACATTCACATAAAGATCGAGCTCATTTCGCAGAGCAACATTTCTAGAAAGAACACCAGCCTCTGTACTGCGCGTTTCTATGTTTCCTTTTAGAGCTACTCCATTTCTGCGTATTGATGTAATTGCATAATCTAAATCGACATTGTCATCTGCGTTGGGATCGATCTCGACATCTTCAAAGTCCACTGGTACGCCAGCATACTTAAAAACCTGAAACAAAGAAATTGGAAATATTATCTCCAATATCAGGTTTAGATAAGAGATTGATGAGAAGATTGCTCCTTCTATCTAATGTATTCTTGCATTGTTAAGGTCCAATTCTATCACTATATTTAATATTAAGATTAACTGTAGAGCCTCTTTCATCAACTTCGATTACTATTAATCGATGATTAACTCAATCATCATGACTGCTTGAATAGTTTGTCTTAGAAAAGAGAGACATTCTGATACATTAAATTATTGATACTTCTGTAAGTTGATTGTCGATTAATTTAATAAGAAGTTAGTAAAAGAAACCCTATATCTCAGTTTAACTTATTATTTATCTTTTTTTAATTTTTACGGCCGATGCACAGACCTTTGCATAATGCATAATGCGTAAAGTATAAGAAAATTAACCAATCAGAGTCTTTTATTTCAAAGAAAGGAAGGAGATAAAGATTCTTTGATTGGTTCATTTTTTATGCATTATGTATTATGCATTATGCAAGACTGCGCTCCTCTACCTTTAGAATTAGAAAAGGATAAAAAATAAATTAAACGAGATCAAAGTTAATCTTATATTAGTAAAACCAAACCTTGGAATCATAAATTCAAGAACGATGATCTACGCACTTCCTTTACATAACCCATCAACTCTGGTCCAATGCCAGCTCCAGGTAGCATGGTAACTGTGTGCCTGCCACCGTAATGAGCCTTTGGTATGGGCATCACTTTCTTGATCGTGGGAGTTTTGTGCTGAATATCAAAGCCTGACAGAGATGCGCATCGATGACTCTGAAATATCACGGGCTTGGGTTTTAGGTACCTTAAAACTGAGCGGGCAGCCATCTCGCTGTATTGTTTTGCTGTAAAACATAACGAAAATCAATCATTTAATCTCGGAGTTAGTCTAATGCATATTATTATTTAATACATACCGTTAGCTTGGCAAGTGCTATTTTAACAACACCTTTGATGCACCCAAAACTCCGAAAGACCTTGCCAGTACCACGCCACACCACGCCAGACTCACCAAGCTCACAAACAAAACGCGACAGTTAGCACGTGATGATTTCAATACGATTCACTTGCCATTACAAATGTTCCGAAGTGTTTTTTGATTGTCAATCAGGATTTTTTTTATTTTTTGTATAGTCACGTGGACTGCAAATTTTTCAAGCGTATTGATTAGTACACTATAATTAAGATAGAGAATTTCTAGAAAAATTTGAAAACTCTCTCTTTTCTACTCTGAGCCAATCAATCGCTTAGAGCAAGAGAAGAAAAAAAACAAACTTTCAAATTAACTCGGATTCTCATACAAATACGAGCACTTTGCACCAAGAGACGTGTTTTGATTCTCATTGATGGAAAAAATATATATATATATATATGTAGTTTATGCTGCAAATTGGCCAATTTAATATTAAATAAGAAAATAATAAAAGTAATTTTAAAAAAATAATAATTTTATTGCGAAAAATATTATCTTGACTAGGAATTAAAGCACAGACTCTTGCATAATGCATAACATATAAGAAATCCAATCAATCAGAGTTTTTTATTCCATGGAAAGGAAGGAAACAAAAGATTTTAACTGATACATTTTCTTATGCATTACGTGTTATGCGTTATGCAAGATTCTGTGCTCTCCGCTTTAAGTTACATTTCTTGCACAATAAACTCTTCTTTTGCAGCTAAACACAACAGATCATTGACTCGGAGTCATGTCGAGTCAGTAAATCAAATATGCTATAAGAATTTCAACCTATCAGAAATCGTTATGGAATACACAGCTTCTGATAGATTAAAATTCTTATTCTCTGTTCTCTATTCCCTGTTCCTTTTATGCAGAGCCCATATTTATCAATTTTTATCACGTGACTTATTTTAACGCCGAAAATGAGCCTCGTGCATGAAAGGCACCTTAATGTCGATGATTCAATAAAAAATTCCAAGCATCAATGGCTGCGTTAGCAGACTCAACAGTTGAGTGAACATTTGCTGTTATTGATGTATTCTTTTAGATTATCCAATCAATATTTTTGATCAAGAGTCCGCTGAACGTAGCCAATAGAGTGGATCAACAGGTGAATGTTCTCGAATATTCACGTGACTTAAATCGACTAGGCTATGTTCAAATTCCCATTCAAGTGCTATCCAGGTATCCTTGTTATTTACTGAACATTAAACAAGGATGACATGACACCCGGAAAACACTCGGATGGGGCTTGATTGTATTTTGAAATGAGATGAAAATTACAAAAGTAAGCAATGATTATTAGGTATTGATCAATTAAATTATGAATATTCTAGTGAATGTGTTCATTTTTGCAATTTTACACAATCGATCTTCTGAACACGAACTTTAATGGAAAGCATTGAGCGCATTCAATAGTTGAATGAGCTTGTTATTGATGTATTCTTTTAGCTCATCCAATCAGAATTTTAGATCTAGAAGAATACACTAATAACAGCTCATTCAACTGTTGAGTCTACTCAATGTGCCCATTGAGAACTTTCTCTTCTCTCTCTTTCTCTTTATCATCAATACAAAAATTGCAAAAATTTTGCAAAAGTTTTGAAAGATTTCAAGCGATGCGAATAAATTTTGAAGCAAATCCTAGGAACTTTGCGAAAGAGCCATTTTTTCCTACAAAGAAATTTTCATGCTAACAGCTTGGTCAGACTGACTTTTTCGCGGCAACGACTTCAGTCAGAAGTCACTCGCAACGAAAGATTTAGAGAGTAAGGAGGCTACGTCAAGGTGATTCAGAGTTCGTGATCCTTGTACATTGAAACGATCCAGGTGAGTTCCATTCTCGAATGCATTGTCGAGCGCGCAATACGTCATCGACATTATACGAGGTAATGTCGCGATTCTTAAAAAGAAAAGAAGAGAAACACCGGCGCGTCACCGCTAATGCCGCCATTTTAGACCAAGCCGCGGCGTATCTTGCGACATAATCATTTTCACGCAATCACTCCGCGGCTCGTCGCCACATATAATTCCATGTCTACCCCGTTCGCTGTCATCCTAATTCGCATTGCATTACAACACGTTACATGTTAGAGTCGATTTAGCATGCGACGCGTCATGCATCATACTGCGCCATATCACTCCACGCTATGCCACGCCGGTATAGAGTGCGTCCTAGCGCAATTTCTCATCGGTCCTTTTATTTACAATACTGAATCGTGCGATCAGATGAAAGTCTGTCATATTCTTACACGAAACGATTAACTTCTTCATTCTAAAATCTATTTGCTTTATATTGTTTGTATCTTTATGTGATTCTAGACTGCTGATTCCTTTTGTTTCTGATAGTTATCTTTCTAAAGCCCAATTGCATCACTTTGACTTTAAGCGAGACTTAAAATTCTATCTGTCTTGTTTTAAAGCCAAAAAGAGATAGAGACAGAAAGAATTTTAAGCCTCACTTAAAATCAAAGTAACGTTGGTGCAATGAAACCTAAGAATATTTCCTTCTTGATTACAAGTGCTGAAGATTTGTATTTCATATTACTATATGCTAGAAAGCAACTTTGTAATTATTGTAAACTTCTTCAATAAGATTGATTTATACATTTAGATCCATAAGAAAACAACAGCAAGAACCAATCGTATTGAATTTTTTACAACAGTTATAAAATTCTTTCTCTGCTGAATGCAACCATAGATTTTCACTACTTGCAGTAAAGTAATGCAAAAGCTTATGTTAGTTCAGCTATAGAAAAAGACCTTATGTAGATGTTTTTTTTTAATTTTTATAAGTATTTATAAAGACTTATTTGATTTTTACAATTGCAGTATATACCATGAGCAAAGTGAAAGATTCTACAACAGATGAGACAGAAGAGGAATTTAGTGTAGAGAAAGTCTTAGACAGAAGAATCGTGAAGGGAAAAGTATGTAAAATCTTATTACACGATATCTCATTTAATATAAAGTGTCATTTTTATTTAAAAAAAATTGTTTGGATTACAGGTGGAATATTATTTAAAATGGAAAGGATATTCCAACGACGAAAACACATGGGAACCAGAAGAAAATTTAGATTGTCCAGATCTGATCGCTCAGTTTGAAGAACAACGGAAAAAGAAGGATGGAAGTGCATCTGGGAAACGTCATGAAGAAAAGGAACAAAAGAAACGAAAAAGCAATAACACACCGACGCCCACTCAAGCCAAGAAAAAGGCAGCAGTAGAAGAAAAGAAGCTGGAAGGTAAAGGGAAGCATCGAAAATTTTTGGTTCTTATTTATTTTTAGTTTTTTTTATCATTTTCTTCGGTTTTTTTTTAAATGATATCAAAATACTTGAAGCAAACCAATGTTTCAGTCTATTATGAATATTCTTTTAACTTTATAGGATTTGATAGAAATCTGGAACCCGAGCGTATTATCGGAGCGACAGATTCCAGTGGTGAACTGATGTTCTTAATGAAATGGAAAGGAACAGACGATGCAGATCTGGTACCTGCACGCATTGCTAACGAAAAGTGCCCACAGATCGTGATTAAATTTTATGAGGAACGACTCACATGGCATAGCCCAGCTCACGATGACGAAAACTCGACGAAACCTGACCCGGAGTAGCGCCCAGCGTTCTTTCATGATTTATTTTTATCATTGCAAAGTATTTCCTTGTAACATCTATCCTAGGTTATTTACGAGTTTTTTAACTTTTGTAGGTAAAAAATAAATATATCAAAGATTTTTTGAATATTAATATAGAATGGTATAATGTAGAAGGAATTGAAGAAAGTTCAAAGATTATTTTAAAGAAAACTACGTACATTGTCACCACTTAATAACATGTCTATCTTTGAAATGTGGAAACGTGAATTTTCAAACAATTACATAAGTTTCACCGACACATCTTAAAATGTATTATTTTTTCGTAGATAATATCTTTCAATACATAACATATTTATTAAAAATATATTTTAAATAGCAGTTTTTTTTTAATAGCATAGGTTCTTTCTAATTATTTCGTTCTTTTTTTTTTGTATTTATCATGTAGTCATGTAAAATGTTAATAATCTGTTGCACCTACATAAATTATCTGCCATTTTAATTAAAATATATGCGATTTACTGTTCAAATAAATAAATTAAAAATTGATAATTATGTGTAACACGTAAAATAATTTTAATTATTAGTAAAACAGAAATTTAACAAATAATATAAAAAAATTAGCCTAAATACTGGATTTCACCATTCCAGCTATTTAATACAAGACTGTTAATTGGATTGCAATTCCTCAGAGCTTGTAAGAAATAATTTGCAATAGTGACAGATGAATTCTTGTAATTATTCATTTCTTTTTTTACATGAAATTCATTTTTTTCTGATTCAAATTAAAATATTACATTCTAATAGTTGATTACTTTGAAAAGAGAATTCATTAATGAGTTTAATTAAGTATAAAGTATAAACATTAAATATATTTAATAATATTGAAATATTAATAGGCTTGCAAAATTAACAAAACATGAGACAGATCAAAGTACAATGCAGATCGCAATGCGCAATAAATTTAACAGATTATAAAATTGAGACATTTTAAATTCTAAATACAAAATTTCATATGTTTCTAAGTGCAATAATGGGCGAGAGAGGAGAGCTCATTGGAGTACTGAATATCTGCTAATACATGTATAAGTCTGAAAAATGTTGAATTCTACTAGTTTAACCGTTGAATTCAGTTAACCGTCTATTTGACAAAGGATGTAATGGGATGATTATTTGAATCTTATGTTCGCTGAAAATAACTCCAAACGGAATCGAAACGTACGAAATTTTGAAATCTAAGTTTTATAATTTATTAGATTTATTACGCATTACGATCTGCGTTGTACTCATCGGCCTGTCTCATGTTTTGTTAAATATGTTTATATTGAAAATAAATTGTTATGCATAATAATAACATATAAGTAAAATTATAGTATAATATTATAATAACACCATTTTGCCTAAAAATTTCATAAAGAAGAAAAGTGCTGT